CTAAAGCCTTAAAATATAAGAATTTCAGATAAGTGAGTTCAAATAAAAACCTCACTCTCTGGTTCTTAAACCTCTTAGTCCATCTCTCCCCAAAAGCATTTCCACTGAAATTGTGCAGTCAAGTTTCTTCATTCTGACCGTAACTGGAAACAGAAGCATAACGAAAATACCGTGAGAAAGGCTGAAATTAAAGATTTTTGCGTCTGACAAGAAGCAGGAAATACTGAAAATCTTGCAACAAAGTCCATTCTCCAGAGAATTACAGGCCAAGGGGATTTGGAAAGTTATATAAGCAACCAGATTGCTGAGTGCTTTACAAGCCAAACTGAACAGTCAGCCTTTCTGAGTTTCCTCTATTTTGCATACTTCTCTTTATCCCTTTCTTTCAAAACAACCTTTTCATATTTATACTGAAAGAAAATTCATTCCTTTAATAAAGTACTTAGGAAACAAGCACCTCAGTGGGACTCATTGCTGCTGGCTGTTGTTCAGATGATGTATTTGCAGGGCAGATCATCAAAGCAACAGCAGGCTTCAGTTTGTGCATCACTGTAGTAATATCTTCTCGTAAGAACATTACTTACAAACAAATGTTAGAAAAAAGATTATCACCTTTGTCAAACAATGACAGAACCAAGAATCACAGAAAACAATAACAATTGCTATGAGCTCCTAGATTGATCATAATTATTGTCATATTGAGCGTGTATCAGTCACAAAGTCTAGGCAGTAGATGCTGGGCAAAAACATGCCTGTTCTGCAAGCTGCAGAGGAAATAAGGAAAATAAAAAAAAGCGCCAGGAAGCCGCGTACCTGGAAAAGAAGCAATAAGGAGAATTCTCCTTGAGATTGAGGCCAGCTGGATAAAAGCCCCCGTCACCCATGCAAGACAAACTGCTTGCTCAGCACCCCAGCTTTAGGGCTCTCTCTCAGCAGGTACCCTGCAATCTGGCAAGCAAGGGAAACTCTTTTAGAAGCTTCTGCGTGAAAATACAGGCGACAAACTACACGCAGACGACTGCTTTGTAAGACAGTGGTAAAGAGACTGCTCCAGCCACTCAGGCTTAATCCCTTTCCTCAAGCCAGAGGAAAGGGTAATTCCTATTGTTCTTGAAGCATTTACCTCTTCATCACACAGCCGAGTAACATGGTCTGCATTTTCATAACAGTTGCTGTTTAATACATGAAAAGGAATAAAACAGCTCCTGGAAAAGCATTTCTTCTGTATGTTTTCAAAATGCCTCTGGAGCCCTACAGATCACTGTACAGTGTTAGGTATTAGCTGGCTGTTTAATGATGCCAGATGGGAAAAGGTCACCTTGGAACTACTATAATAAGATAACCTTGCCAGAAACTCCAAAATGTAATTATTTAAGCAACACCCATATTGGAAAAAAAAATATATGGTCAGCAAAGACCACTGCACGAGATACATTCTGGTTCAACCAAAGGTCATTAGGCTAGGTAAAATTCTTGAATTCAGTGGAGTTGAATTCATTAACACCAGGGCTGAATTTCATCCAAAGCCTTAACAACTTCAAGGGCTTTAGTAAGCAACTACTCTAGCCAAGAACTACATGTTGGCTAGAATAAGATGAACATTTATTTAGTGAAATAAACTCTCCCTGCAGAAAATCATTTTGAAACTATTAGAAGGATAATAATTTAAAGGATATGTAAATGTGTGTGTGCGCGTGCGCGTGTGTGAGTGAGCACAAGCCGGAGGAAACTAGGTATAATGAACTTCATGTGAGACGTTTTAGAAACATAGAAGATACTGTACTTTACTCTCTTAACACACTGTTTCCTATTAGGTTTTAACCTTGTTCTTGCATTAGAAACAAAATTGTGACATATTTTTTTTCTTAGGTAACTTACCTACACATGCATTACCCTGCTTGAGCAGGGGATTTGGACTAGATGATCTCTAGAGGTCCCTTCCAACCTCAATCATTCTGTGATCTGTAAATGTGCACTGAATTCATGTGATTCAATATGGGCCCAACTTGGAAACACTTTGAACAGCACTACACCAGGTCACAAGTTCAATTCCCTTTACAGTTCCAGGAGCTTTAGCACTGGATTTTACACTGCTTCCTGACCTATGACACCTTGGATGCTTAGCCCTGGATTTATTTTGCTTTTGTTTTTAAAACTAAATAAAAAGTTCACATTGTTTTCAGAAATGTTTTATAATGGAAAGGAACCATATCTTGCGAAAGCTTTTAGGCCCTAGGCTCTCCCTGGCTCCTAGATGCTCCCCAGCACCACCACAGCAGAGGCCTACCCAACTCCCAGTATGATCTAACCCATCTGACCACATGCAACTGCTGCTCGAAAGCACACGCGGCCGTCTCCACTGCCTCTCACCCAGCATTACCTCTCTGGTAGCTTTTGAAAAATGCAATACGAAGTAGGCTTAAGAACTCTTCGAAGGAGCCTGTCTATCCCCTTTAGCCTGAATTTTCTGATTACCCAGAAAATAACATATTCCTGAAATATCAAAAATTTTGTACGCACTTGTCACTTTTTCTAAAACAAATTGTATTACTGCTTCAATCTAGTCAGAACATACACGTTCTATTCACTGCTTGGAGTTAGTAAACCTCTGTAGGCTACCACGGCAGCCAGCTGCAGGACCACAGCCCTGCTTCCACGGCGGGTCACATCTCTTGGTTTGTAACAGCACAGTAAAAACAAGCACTGGATAAAGACAAAAAACCAAAAGCAGTAGGGAGAGGCATTCAAACACTTAGATGCTTTGATTACTTTTATCTGAGTCTGAATTTCTTTGAGGAGGAAACCTCACATTCTTGCTTGCTTTTTCCAGCACCTATTGATTTTACAGAAAAGAATGAACACACACACATTCTGGACTGAGAATATGATTAGTGAGGAGGTGTGGAGCTCTGTAAATCCACATGGAGCCTGGATGCTCACCTGAGATGACCTGAACAGGCAGAGCCTCAGCAAGGCCTGCTGAGATCTTACTGAGGCAGTTCTAGTGATTCTGAGCTGATGCATGATTTTACACTGAAGAAAGCAAAAAATGGGCAAACTGAAAACAATGAATCCTAAACATAGGAGGAATGTTGCTCACAAGCAGCTGTGATTCCTGCAATTGGACAGGGCAGGGATCTGCAAAGCACTCAAATATACACTTAAAGCAACTGCTCGTGGGTACTTTGTTGTTGCTGCTGCTTCCGCAGCATAAAGACAGATGTTTTTTTTCCTTTTTTTTTTTGAAAAAAAAAAAAGGTTCAAGGGTTTTGCTTGTTTCTATAAATTTAGAGAAACCTGTAAACATCAGAGATCTGAGTTTTCAAGTCTCCAGCTTTACCAGGTTTATATACTCTATAACAATCTGCTTGAACGCAGAGATTTTGAAGGCTGTGCTATCTGTCAGAAACCTCTGACCGTTAATAGACTGGAAAACAATTTTCCAAATACCACTGAATTTGAACAAGAAATTGCCAACAAACCCTCTTCTAGTTTTAACTTTCTGATCTTTAGAATACTTTCTTTTCTGTGCTCACGCAATTACACCTGCCTTGATAAGCCAAGCTGATAATGTTATAGTATATATAAAGGCTGGAGGTCCTTCTAAAGGGGACTACAGCCCTAAGAGTTCTTAACAGGGGTGGGTATTGGTAGATCTGGCAGACTAACTCCATACCAGCAGCTTTAAACTGGAAGCAGAGATGACAGCATAAACTCTGGGGATAAGGAGCAGCATGGGAAACAGAAATCCTGCCACTTTCCCATACATGCCAACAACATTATTTTCAAGTAAAAATGTTACTATTTTTCCGTCCTGCCCATTCCAAAAATATTCGTGTGGTCCAGGTCGTCTTATTACAGCTAAGGGAATTTCCTTGTTACCTGTTTTAATAAGGTGACTTGTAAATCTGAGAAGAAAATCTCTTCGGTTTCATGATTTTATAAAATTTGCAACGTGACAACTTACACAAGTTGGCTTGCCAAGCAAACTGTATTCTCATCCATCTCCCACCAAACGCACAGTATCTACAGAAGCGCTTTAGATAAAACAATTATTCCCTTTCATGATGCAATCAGTTAGTGCTGATGAATATTGGTACATATATACAGCTCATTAATATTTTTGGAAGGAACCAGGACAAAACAGATTTGATGATAAACCACCTTACAGGAGGTTCAGAATGTCTGGGCTGAGATTTGAAACTTCCAGTGCAGCAACTCTAGCAACGAGGACATGGAGCTAGTGAAAAATGGCCTCATGTAGATCCATTATTAGCATTTGCTATGGTAATTCTCAATAGAGGTCTCAGGCTTGGCAAATAGACAGTGATTAAAGGCAGAGATTTATAAATCCTAAAAAACTGTTTTCTCTCCAGACCACTCAGCAAAACTGGGTCCAAGAGGGAATCACAAATGTAAGGAAACTAAGGAACTAAGGGCTCTGCAGGTGAAGGAGGGAATGGAACCACTCACAATGCACACAAGACAAAGATATATATGCAGAAAGTTCCACATTGTCTCTAATGCACAGGACACTACACAGCCCTAAAAATATACCCTCCATGCTAAAAAGTTAATAGAAATGCCCTGGGATTCTCTGTTCTTTTGAATTAAGAACCTCTTTGAGAATAAACTGAATAAATGATCTCATACCCTGAAAACATCACCCCAACATCACTTCATCTCAGCACAACTGTGGTACGCATGACTTCCATGTCAAAAGCACTTACGTTTTAGGCAATCAGACAATCGTCTTTTCTGCTCAAGTAAGCTTGACATACCTCACATAACCAAGCACGCTCCTTTGCTGGATTCCCTTTCTGACAATATGACACACAATGTGACAAGTCTTTTATATCAGATCAAACCAGAATGATAAACTGAGAGTTAGTTCTGATCAAAATCCTAATTTTTTTTTCCCTTGACATCTCAGAGTGTGGCTTACCTGGGCCCAAATTGCACCGTACTACGAAGAATGCATTCACTGAGATACAACTTACCCAAATAGTTGTTGCTCTTGTACATCTCTGTAATGTTGATTTTAGTAGCTCCTTCAGGAATTTCCACTATCTTGTGGTAGCCAAGATTTGTTAGTGTGTGTTTGAAAACTCCAGACACAACTTTGCAAGCAGTATTGTCCCCTCCACATATTCCACACTTGTCAACCACCTTGTCTGAACCCAGATAGTCATCGCAGCCAATGCTCTGCAAAATAAAACACATTTTTTTTCAAAATAGCACAACTGCAAAATTTTAAGCATAACCAACTGCAGACAGTGTGACTTTCAGAGAACATAAAGCCTGAAAAGATTTTACAATTAAGGTATCAACAATTTCTTCCTTTTTTCTTCTACATGCAATAAAGTAATAAAAAACATCCACACCAGAGAACATATATATATATATATACACACACACACACAGGGTGCGTTTCAAGTTAGTGTACAGGTTTTGTTCCTAAAAGCAATCTGTGTCAAACTTTGCAATATTCTAACTGAAAACACAAGAACATGGTAGAAATCACTAGTGCATTTATCGTTCCTCGTCACACTCTCCTCATCTTAAAGCCAGGTATCTCTTAACAACAGAAATGCTATAGCTGTTAGTCAGAAAAGAGGTGAAACAGTGCTGTGATTTTGCTACGAATCCAAAACAGACTTTCAATACAGGTGCAACTATTTTATACATAAATACTCTTTTTAATTTCCTCCAGGAATGAGTACAGAGCTTCCTCTGGTACCAAGTGTCTTGTAAAAAGTATCTATACTGTGTCTAAACTATAGCTATCCTCCTGTTTATAGCACACAAGAAGGTGGTACAATGTCATTTTGGCCCACTTTGTAACACCTCCCCAGACAAGACAATTGAAAACAACCACCACAAAAACAGACAAAAAGAGAAACTCAAACTTACTGTACTTTAAAAGGGCAAACAATAGAGAGATTAATTCTTTTGCACAAAATATTTCTCTGTTACATTGATGGTTAGTATTTACAGACTTTTAATATCACTTTTTGTAAATACTCATCCTCTACTTGTATGATTAATTTTGTATTTAAAATAGTAGGAAACCTTCACACTTTCTCTGAAATGTGAAGTGTTTACATTAGACGATGAAGAAAATATTTGCAAAATACTGGATGAAAAAAGTGGCTAATAATTTTTATGGTCTCTTGTGGAAGCAAAAATTCAAGTAGAAAGAATTTTCTAATACCACCAACTTATAACATAGTGAGTGTGCTGAGCCCTGGCGTCACTGTTTCTCCACTGTCCCAATACTAATGCTTGTCCCTTGCTGTGAAAAATGTTCTAAACTGCGAGCCAGATTCTGCTTAGTTCCAATATAAATATTTAATACCCAACATCTTTCTTATGGCTATCCAAGAAACACAGATAAAACATCTAACTTGTCACTGCCAGGATCTCGTGGGGCTTGACACGGATGCCTGTTTGTGCTCATGAAGCAAAGGGATGAACACTGCCAAGCACTTGGAGGCTGATGGCGGGAGAACCTGATAACTAAAACCTGTCCCACCCTAATACCTAGAGGGATTGGTGCATCATTTTGGAAAGATTTAGGATACAGACAGAAACACTTGGTTTAACGTCTTGCATTTGCGTTGCATGGCAGAAATGCAAGGACATGTGTGAGTTTTATTTTTGTATTTTTTCATTAAATGCATTTTACTTAAAAAAAAAAAAAAGTAGAACAATACTTACAAAGTAAAGAGGGTACTACCGGTATTAGTATACTACTTTGCAAATTACTACACCTACTAACTTATTTATATGGATTAAGTTAGTAACAACTTAACAACACTTAATAGTGGTGTTTACCCTTTGTTTAAACATGGTGATTATCACTAAGTGAAAGACAGAGAGCTGGGCCTGTTCAGCCTGGAGAAGAGAAGGCTGAGAGGGGACCTGATCTTTGTACGTAAGTACCTCAAGGGAGGCAGTGAGGAGGATGGTGCTGGCCTCTTTTCAGTGGTGCCACAGACAGAACTAGAAGAAATGGCCAGAAACCAAAGCATCAAAAGTTCCATGGGAACATAAGGGAAAATTTCTTAACAGTGAGGGTGACAGAGCACTGGAACAGGCTGCCCAGAGAGGTTGTGGAGTCTCCTTCTCTGGAGATCTTCAAAACCCGCTTGGACGCAGTCCTGTGCCACGTGCTCTAGGTGACCCTGCGTGTGCAGGGGGTTGGACTAGATGATCCCTAGAGGTCCCTTCCAACCTTAAGCATTCTGTGATTCTATGATGATTCTAAACCAAATCATACTGTATGATTTTAGATCTGCCTAAAACAATTTGAAGAAAATGAAGTTACCTGAATTTAAGATAGCTGTGACCACATACTGTTTAATTTATGGACTCCTCCTCCTCACAGGGTATCTTGATTCACACTTCCCTGCCCTATTTTTTGGACAGAAATGTGGCGGTGTTTAGAATCTTCCTATGTTACTGAGTGACTTCCAGGAAGCTTCCACTGCCAGTAATTATTTTATGGAGCAAATCCTTTCAAACACGAGGTGCCGTACAATATGAATTGCTAGCATAAATGTTTACTGATCTTCTACATCACTATTGAGTCCCATAAACATTAAGATATTTTTCTTCCTTCGAGTGAGTAGAAAAGTGAATGTTACTCATTGCACAAAATGTGATCACTTAGCATCACTTAGTGCTCACAATTTTTAAATGTTCTTTCACAAAAGACTGAAAAAGATACACAGACTGAATTACAGGAGACAAGAATCTAAAAAACTGAAATCAGTAAGAGGCAATGAGAGGACATAGTACCATGACTAGTAAAAATATATAAAAAAAAAACACATATGCATTATGCAGAGTACACCCAGATACACAATTTACATTCCTACAGAACAGGTATTTAGTAACAGACCAAAATTTCACAAGGGAAAGTTCAAACTTTATATTGGGCTTTCTGTTGAGATGTCTTTACAGATGAAGAAGCCATTTATAACTAGTATGTTCTGGAAAACATTCACAATTCCTTAATTCAGCTTAGGCAAGCATATAAAAAAAGACTGCATATTCTCTTAGTATTTCCAAACCTGGCAATGACAGTCATATAGCAAGTCTCTATCCAGCTTGTGAACAGGGATCTCCCTTTCTAGCTGTAGACAGCACTGATTTCTAGCACTGACAGGTCATGAGATGCTGAATCTGATGCCTGTCACTACCCCAGGGCTCAGCACTTGATGCATCCTGGGCCTTGCTCCAGGGTAATTTCAAGAAGATGAAAGAAACACCTTTCTGGCAAACTACTACTGGTTTCTTTCTGCTTTTAAAGAGTAGTTTGAAGCTGTTCAGAGCTTTGGAATGGTAGAAGCCATCCTGGAAGAATTAGGTTGGTAAATAGAATAAATGAAAATTAACCAAAAAATACAGAACAATACAACTGTATTAAGGTCATTCAATATTTTGTATATTTTTTTTCTAAGTTACAACTACAAATTCAGAAAGTTCCACCTTGCTGCTTGGGTAACAAACGTCAAAAAAAAAGGAAACAACTTCAATCTGTCTCACGCGGTGGCACTCATTACATTTAAATATATTCACACACAGCAAAGTCCCTTATCACATCGCTGATATAGCAGCAAGAAAAAGATAGTTATGTAAAGCAGTGCAGTTTGAAGTTCCAGCAAAACTGGAACCCATCATTTGCTGTGGGAGCGTGGATTTGTCTTAACTATGTCAAAGGACATAATGATCAGAAGTTTTGCCAGATAAGTAGATAGGTCTGAAATCTCAGATCCAGTTTCCTCATGTAGCTCTGGAGCTGAGACAGAAAGTGGGGAGCAATGCTCTGACATCCAATTTAGCAGCCTCTTACTCTATCCCAAAGGAGGCCTCTATCAATGAGGAATTCATAGTACAGGTTTTCATCATGTAAAATATATTTCAGGAATCAGATGTCGCAAACTACACACAACGTTACAACTACAGATGTAAAAACATCAAGACCGCGAACGAGATGAGCGAGCATCCTGCCCATAAAAGTAGATTGCTCACTTGATGTGATAGTCATGCTTACTTTTTGGATAGGTCCACTGCAGGCTGTTCTTTGGCTATCAATAAAAGGCAGCCTAGAACATAGCTGTCCTGTTAAAATAACTTTTATTATTATTATTATTTCTCAGAAGTATTTCTGCCTTCAAATTCTAGTACCATAAACCAAGCATCTTGCACGTTGTTCAAAGAATTTTTGCATTATGGTTTAACCTTTTGAAGTTTCAGGTTAGTATGAAAGACACTGGTCAAGAATTACAGCCAACTGCGTGCCAAAATTAATTTAAATGAAATCCCCTGAGAGAAACGAGGGACAATCTGGATGAAATATTCAGTGGTGGACTTAATAGGGTTTTAGGACTATGTATACAATAAAATGGGGCTGGTGCCAGGCATGCGAAGAGATGAAGTGCTGATTCTTGAAATGGAAAACAGATGTTATAATTTCAGTACTAAATGATTCTACTAAAAGTGCAATCTATGTGGTAAAGCAGCATAAATAATCCACCCTGACAATGGCTTGCTTTCATTGTTTTAGCTGCATAATATTATGAGGGAGGAAAGAACAGGTATGAGTTGCCGTATGTCAACAGCACTCAAAAATCATCTATATTGACAGTTAGTTGGCTGAAAAGTTGCATTACAATGAGTAATTTGTAGTCTGTGTATCCAAGACGTTAAAAGACAGACAAAAAACATTTAAGTTATACTTAAACATAATTGAAAAATTCTAACAAAATGATGGGGGCAGTGCCAGATGGCTGGTACAAGGGGTAGTTCTGGATGGTGGTACAAAATAGCAGGGGCAGTGCTGGACGGCGGGTACAAAATGATGGGGGCAGTTACCCAGGAACACCAAGCAGTCCAGGGTGATGCAAGAGGAGTCACCTTGCAAGGTACATTGCCAGAAACACCGCTACAGAAAGTAACTGGGAAGCACAGCAGTACCAGAGGCAGTTTAGGCAGCTGCAGAAAAGAGTAAAAGCTGCCGTCACAGTATCACGAAATTGATCTAATTTTCACACTATCACACCACCAATTGCTGATCACCACACTACCAACTGCTGAAGCTATTGATATTTTACACGCTACTGTCCCACAAACACGGTATTTGCCATCCTGCTCAGAGGAACGTACTGCAACTGCCCCAGCTCAACATCAGTGATTTA